CTAGATTTGGCGCTAGGAGCTTTTTAGAAATCAAAGTGCTAGAGCGGTCTGAAAAGTGGCTACACTTTTTAGCGAGTATTTTTCATTTAATATTTCCGTCAAAAATATAATGTGCACAAATAGGTAATAGCAGTATTAAACATACAGTACATATAAAATGAGTTTTGTGGCTAAACCACTATATTAAGCACTCTATAAGGTGGTTAGGGTGGATATTCGGACACAGTCTATGAGAACTTTTTTTTTTAAATGGTGACAAAGTTTATTCGCCCACAAATACTTCATCTAATAACAACAGGAAAATATTCCCATTAGTCTTATTCTAGAAAATCTCCTTCCTAACAGTGTATGTATAGTTATAAACGTTGTCACAAATTTGTAATATACCTAAATTTCTACTTATTTTTAAATGAATAGAAAGTTTAGAAATTTCAATTTGGCAACTAGTTTAAGACAAAAAAATAACTTTTTAATAAACACAAACATGTATATAATTTCGGGTGTCTAGGGTTTGAATAGAAATATTTTTAAGGTGTTCAACTGTAGTTGTCAAAGTGATGTTGGACTAAACAAAAACTAGTGACAGAAGATCAGAGATGTACACAGAGGTGTAAATGAAACTGAATTTATTTCTAAAGGACTTTTAAAAAAAATGCTTACCTGCAGAAAACGGCATAAAAGCGTCTCTCTTTCTAAATTTTCCATTCTCATCCAGAAAGTGTTGAGGGTTAAAGGAATTTGGAGTCTCCCATACTGACTTATCGCGGAGGACAGAATGAAGTGTGGGTATAATCAAAGTTCCCTGAGAATTTGAAAATGTAAACAAAAAACATAATGAATAAAAGTTTTTAGTTAGTTCTTTTTTTTATAAGGCAAAATGTTGATTTCCGGTGTTATGTCAAAGAGAATTTAAAGCAACAGTTCATTAAAAAAGCAAACCTAACAACAGTCGCCCTGGACTGTTGATGAAAATAAAAAGGAAATAAACTTTTTAGATGTGTCACATGCTCCCTTCCTCCCACCTACTTGCACCACTGGATCTAGGGCTGAAACAATTTATCAGTTTAATTGTTAATAATTGACTACTGAAGTAATCCTCAACGTCAAGTAATCGATCAATCATTAACAGGAGTATAGAGACTCTAAAATGTGCCTCTAGCTGAAAGAATGACCCACTTAGAGCAGTAAGTATATCAAAATAGTAAAAAATATATATAAACATTGTGCATTTAAGAAAAAAAAACAAACATTTCATCTGTCAATATGCTCAATCCAGACCACCTCATGTGAAAACATTTTAGTTTCAGCTGGTTTGTTTTTGGTAAAACGTCTTTAAGAAACCTTTGGCTATCCGATTATTAATTGATAAATCTAAACGATTATTAATCGACAGATTAATCGATTTTCTAAATAATCATTAGTTGCAGCCCTATTTGGATCCCTCACCTGAAAGTTAGAGGATGTTTTCCTGGAAGCCCTGGAAGCTGAGCCTGCACCCACTAATGCCTCCACTAACAAAACTGTTTTTCCTTTTGCTGTCAGATTACATCATATATCTACTTCCTCTGCCCATCCAGGTACCATTTGTACAGTGGTGCTCATCCCTTGCCTGTATTGGTGGCCGTCTGTCTATAAGGACATTAAGGAGTATGTTTCAGCCTGCTGAAATGCTGAATGTTTGCACCCTGAATAAACAATCCCAGCATCCTCCTGCTGGGTTACTTCAGCCACTGTCTATACCCAAACACCCATGATCACACATCACATTGCTCTGGGTTTTGCCATCTGGTTTACCTAACTCTCAACTTCCTTCAGCTCTCCAAACCGAACAGCGGCTGATAAAACACGTCTCCTCACTAGTGTTGCAGTGATACCGATACCAGCATCGGGCGGGGCCCTGGTCCAGCACTACAATGGTGGTATGGGTTAGAGACTGACACGGGAGTGGATTTTCACTCCTGTCCCGTCCCACTCCCACAAAAAAAAAATTGTCTCCCGTCCCGATCCCGGTCCAGAGTAGAAATCTAAATCCTGTCCCATCCCACTCCTGGTGAA